ATAATAATAATAATAATAATAATAATAATAATAATAATAATAATAATAATAATAATAATAATAATAATAATAATAGTTACGCTAAAGATGCAAAGAATCCTGCTTTGTCAGATTTTGGATCTGAAAGAGGCGTATAATCAGGTAATCTCTTAGATTTTGATGGACGGTGAGCCTCTAAAAATGCATGATATCGAGCTAAAATATATATAAACATGTGTGTTAATAGACCACTACTATCATATAAATGTTCGGTTCCAAATAAACCACAATTCATATGACACTTTTTTATTTGTTCAACTTTATTTTACCTAATTTGTCACCACCAAAATGATCAGGATTTGACCAATCGAGATTTGGATGACCTGGAGATAATGGGGGTGTTAATTGAGATAATAGATGACTATCTTTTTTTTCATCATCTGAATTTGTTCTTAAATAGGAAGTGTTTGGTGGATAAATTTCTTTATCGTCAAATAATAAAAATTCCTCGACTATCTGAATGTATTTCTGTAGAGTGGCACGTTGTTTATCCAGTGAAGTGTAATTAGACGATTTGTACAAATGGCCATCTTCACTGCCACTATCGTCAGTGTCATCATCACGATGAGTTTTCTCAAGATCACTTATCATCTCAAGAACTTCCAAGGCAGAAGATCTTATTTTTGCAAGTGACTCGTCTGTTATATCATCTTTTACCATTGTATAATTCCTAATTGATTGGACAGCTTTTGTTGTGGATTCCACTGCAGCTAAAATATCCACAGGTACAGTATCTTGTTCTGATTTTGCTTCACCGGTAATCATACACCAAGCATCAAGCATTGCTTGAATATCAGCATGACAATTTCCCAATAGTACGTCTGGATCCATCTCAACATCTAATTTACTGGTTATGAATGTAGGAAGTGGTGGAGGGGATGGTGGGAGTGGAGTTGGTGGAAAATCATCAGGTTCTTCAGTAACTTGTAATAGATAAGATGTATTTGTATTTATTGTAAGTTTCTTTTCTGCTTCTTCACTGTATATATATACATTTATGTATGTAATTAATATAATAATATTTAATAAATAAAAGTTTTCTTGCTGAAAAAATTTTAGATTAAACAATATATATATATAATAAAATAATCGTACATATGTTTTGGTTTCTTTGGTTTTATGATTATTCCTCTTTTAGCATAAAAATGTTGTAAATGTGTTATACTACCAAGTGCTAAAACTGACTGTCTTTTTTTTGCGCTTTTAGCAAACTCTCTTGGTTTTGAGGGCTTCTTGTAAGCTCGTCGAGTTGCTACATGAACAGGCATAGTAGAACGTTTTGAATTTAAATCAAAATTAAGGAATGGGACAGATATGTCAGGAGTACTTTGATGTTTTTGATTTGATTCTAATGAATCGAATGATGTTGTTGTTGGTGAATCGGTTATTGATGAATCGATTATTGATGATGGTTCCATGATTATGATATATTATAATTTTTCTGGTTGAAAGAATAGTGTATGCGTATGAATACAAATAATTTTGAAAAAAATTACAGCATTATTGAAATTTAGACCAAAACAACTTACCAAATAAATATATATGCTAATAGAAAATGCTAAATGGATGAATAAATGAATGAATGAATGAATGAATTAGTAAATGAGTGAGTGAATGAGTGAATAAATAGAATAAATAAAACTAATCAAAAGAATGTTTTAGTAGGAAAGGTAGTGAAGGAATGAATAGGGTAGGTAGAGATTAAATAGGGATTTTCAAAAAGGAGGGTAAAAATAGTTAAAGTGAAACGTTAAAAGAAAAATTTTTTCTGAAACAGAAAAAATCCGAAATGAAAATTTAATAAATTTTTATTTTTAAATATTTATATAATAATACCTATAATTTTTATTTTATAATGTACACCACTTTTTTATTGCAGAAATTTGTACGAATAATAACGCTTCGATTTATTTATTTGGAACGAATAAATTTGTAATTAAGAAATTCTTCAGTTATTTAAATAACAATAATAGTAATGATATATAATAAATAGTAGACAGCGAGAGAGAGAAAAAAAAACAGAAAAATTTTTTTTTCTTCAGAAAGTTAAAAATATTATATATATATATATTCCTAAAGAATATATTTGATTGGTTAATTTTATCAGTACCTGAAAATCATGTTGTAACGCCAACCAGCCACATTTTTAATTGTTCCTATTACGTATTATCATAATTTCCAAATTCTTGTTCTTTGTTATTGAGATTTATTAATTTAGATTAGATTTTTCAATCAAAAAAATTACATTATAGGTTATGAGTGCCTATAGAATGAGGCTGCCAAGCTGCTATTTTTTTTGCAACAAAAAAATATCTGATTTTAAGATACTTTTTATTTACCCGGGTCATACGAATCATGTGAAATTTTCATTTTATTGTTATTAAAAACTCTAGCATTTTCCTTAAGATTAGAGAATAAAACTATAGAGAGCATTTTCTTCCGTCTTCCTTTACTTCGATCTTGTGCATTTCATGTCTTTAAATGGCGAACTTTCTTATCATTTGCAGAATTATGATTTTACTATTTTACTTATCACTCTTTAAATAATGTCAATGAAGAATTGATTACTATCGTCCCAATCTTCACCACCAAGTAGATTACCTAGTTTTATATCATCCTCTCTCCTATATAATACTTTTTAATTAGACAATCTTCCTTCATTGCAGAAAATGATTAATCCCAATATGTAATATTGAAGAGGGAAATAAAGGATATTCATGATATTTAATGTCGTTATTACTATTTTCAACAGCTTCGCGATTAAGAAATTCAAAATTTAAGTCAAATAAACCATCGATAAAGATTGCAATGGCTTTTCAAAGAAACTCGTCCTTTTGACTTTGGTGACCTAATTCTTTTAGAGAAGCAGGTTTATTAAGATCATTCTGAAATAATAAGATAGAGAGAGTATTGTACAATGAGAGTTTCTATGTTTGTATGGTTTTTCGGGGGTAAATTAATATACCAGTCAACGATCAAAAAATTATTATTATTATTCTCGATTTGTGTAGGTACCATTTATATGAAAATGAGAATAATAAGTGTTGAATGGCAGCAGTTCCATTAATGACATTTAATTTTTTCATAATTGACTTTTTCATAGAAAACTTTTTTTTTTTGAAAAAAAATTTTCCCAACTAGGTTTTTTTGTGTAGCAATTTTTGTTTTATATAGATTTCCATATAATCTGAAAATAGAATATATTACTTTACTCATGTGATTTATTTAGCCTTTTGCATTATTTTATAGACGAATCATTTTTTACTAATAATACTAATTACACCGATTGTAATAATGGATACTGAACAATCCAAAATTATCGTGTAAAAAACAAAAGATTTGATTTTGTGGACAGGTAATTCTAGTGGTTTGTTTATTAATAATATATTATTTTCGCCAATTCAATCAATTAAATAATTGACTATTGTCATGACAATTTATTTTTCTAATTAAATAATATTAATTTTTTGATGTCGAATGTTTACAAAATCAAAACTTGACGAAATTGCAACAAGGCTTAACAAAATAACAATTATAGTCATATTGGATATGCAAAGATTTTATATTACAATCAACATAAAAAGTATCCTGTAATATTATTTAATTATTATTTAATATACAAGTATTGATTCTTTTCTTTTAATGGTGCATTGCTTTATTCAAGTGGATTGATTAGGTAATTATGATATTAATATGTTGAAAGGAACATGTATTGGAAATTCTATGGTTTGGTTCTAGAAATAGAATCACTTTATTAAATATTAATGTACGGTTCGCTGCTGCACCACCACATGGCCAAATTTTCAAAATATTGTTCAAAAATCCAATGAAACATTTTTTTATACATAGGCTGCTGCGCAATGCAGTCATTGTAATTTGCCAAATTTAGATATTATTATTATTATTATTTATATTATATATTCTAAATTTAGTCGGAATTTTCGTGGGAATACTAAAAAGGAATATAACTCTCAAAATTTTACATTAAAGCTAGAGACATATTCTATCAATTTACAATATAAAGTAGTTTTTGAGTTCTATGCTTTAAAATTTGCGCAAAGTTTAGGAAGTCTTTAGATAATGCGAACCATATTTTATATGGGGACATACCGCAACAAAACCAGGCAAAACAAACGTTGTATATATATTTTCTTTTCCTATTTCATAACTTTCTAATTATTCAATAAATTACATGCTGTACTTTCTTTCACTTTTTAGTCCAGGTTTTATCTGATTGAATATTCTAGTTGAATTTTTATCATTTTCTAATTATTAAGATTATCTTCCAAACATTTTATCATATTTTGACTTTGTCTTTTTTCTTCAATGTAATTTTCATGGTCGTTCTCGCTTGACTTTCATTCAGCTTTTTTGGTTTGTTGATCTCTTCATTAATTTCCTGTTTCTTGACTTTTCATTTGGATTTTTTCTCGTTCAGGCTGATTTAGTAATTCTTTTAAATTTTCAATTCCTTGCTTTAAATCTGTTATTCCGTTTTTTAATCTGCTTATTTTCCCTATTCTTTTCATTTACTATATTATGTGGGAAATCAAGTTAATCATCATCATGATATGACTACTTTAAAGATTTTAAATAAATATGGGAGATTTTCTCTTGTGTTTTATGTTGTAATGTAACTAGGCCGATAAGGTCGATTTGAGTAACCTGAAAGTTATTGACAAGATAAAATATACAAGTGTCTTTAATTAATTTAATCGATTTGTGGATGTATGTAACACAAGCATTGTTAATATAAAGCAATCGAAGTATATATAATAAGCTTGAATTCATGTACAGTCAGACGATAAACCAACATTATTTTATTAAATTTATCTCTATAAATTAATTTATGATTTTTTGCGAAAACACTGACTTTGGTTTATTGAGTACTGACTGTACTCTCAAAATAACTTTCCTTGAATAAAAAAAATATAACCTTGACTTGAGGACAAGTTTCAACTTATAAACCTATATCAAATTAGACCCCAAGTCATCCACTGGTAAAAGCTCATTCAATTTTATTTTATTCAATCGAATTGGTGGGTGACATTATCAAAGAAAAAGTAATAGGTTTGTGAGAGATCTGCGCGATCAGTGGTTTAATCCACAGATCGTTATAAGATCAGCAGGGCTCATTTTCAGAATGGTAACTTCCTCACGATTTAATAAACACAAAAAAAAATTATGTTCATATAATTTATTATCTTGTGATGACATTTAAAGATGGCTCTTCAATTAGTTGCAAATAATTGCGGCATATAAAAATTGAATTGCGGTTGCGGTTGCGGCATATGAAAATTGAATTGCGGCTAATTGTGGTTCCCATCTCTAATGAGATTCATTATGGCCCATTGGTTACAACACAAAAGCCAGATATACCATGTAGACAGGAATGAAAGTTAATCAAACAATAATGTTTTTTTTCAATTTGTGTTACAGATTAAAACCTTGTTTTGTTGTGAGTAAAATGAAAAATTCGTAACTTGTGAACAGCTCTGCTGCAAGGTAGCTTTTTGGTCAATCTCTATTATTTTACATTAATTCCTTATTCATTTTGATAAACTAATAATACTTTTGAATAATTAGGTTTAGTTTATGAGCCAAATATGTTCTCACAATGCAAGTATATAATATATTTATGATATTACGAGTTTATTAGAAAAACTTCTTTTTAGCTGGAGAAACTGACAAAAATAAAAAATATACAGCCGAAACTATGTTGGTAGATGAAAGTCAAGTTGATAAAAACAAGGTTCGAAACTATGTTGGTAGATGAAAGTCAAGTTGATAAAAACAAGGTTCCAAAACTCCAAACTATTCATGGGTGGATAACCACCTATACTGTATATTTAAAAAGAAAGTGTTGTCAGAAGCCAGTATTCCAACTGAAATGAATAGAAATCACAATGAAAATCGATTGACATAAATAATTTTATATATAAAAACCTTCGGATGAAACATTTTTTAATTTTCCCAATCATTTATTGCAAATGTAAATCCCTGCGTTTCACGAATTAATTATAATTGGCAATTTTCAATTTTTTTTATTCTAAATTTTTGAAAAAATAAAAATGAATTCAATATTTGAAAAATATTTCAATGAAAATGAAAGATTATTAAACACAGAAGATTTTTATGATGTAAAAATATATGTTGG